TCCTCTTCATTAAAAAAACTCATCAAGTCCAAATTAGTTGAAGGGATTGAGGAAAGGGCCTGGACAGAAGATTCGACACCACCCTGGGTCGAAGGGGAAGTAGTGAAAGGCTTGGGAGACCCAGTCGAATCTGTAAAAAGATAAGAAACAATATATGTAAGACAATTTGTAAGGCCGCGAGGGTCATAACAAGAATGCAAAGTTAAAGAGATATACCCTTATTCGGACTGAAAAGAGGTTTTAGCTCGAAAGAAGGAGCTTCACCTTGGGAGGATTGGTGAGGAAGTTCTGTGGTCACTGGAGGCTCTGCCGTAGGAATCTTCTCCTCATCAATCTGAGGAGGAATCTCTATTGAAGCCATGATGGAGGCCATCTCGACGACATTGAGTTGAGGAGTGGCCAACTGCAAACAAATGATGAGATCAAAAGAAAATTAAGGAGAGATAGAAGAGTGAAAACCGAAGAAAATTGAACCGGCTGAGATGCCCCAGTGGAAATAGGAATGTCCTTTGACATCTCCCGAGAGGAGTCAATTTGAATGACTTCGACGTCCTATGATGAACAAATATCTTAGAAAAGTTGAAACAATGAGAGAATTCAATCGAAATCAAAAACGAAATGTACCTTAGGCACCGATTTCATGGCGTCTTTAAGAAGTTTCTCAACAGGAGGGTTCTGTGTTTTCTTAGGAAGAGGAACCGTTAATTTCCCCTTCCATTTATCGAGCTTTTTCGTGGTCGAGACCTAAAATTGAAAGGATAACCTTTATAGTCAAGACTCTACATAACAAATAACAGAATATTGAGGCAAGTTTACTTACAGTTTTGGTGCTGCCCGAGTCCACTTTTTGTTTTTTCGAGGTCTCAATACTCTGAAATTTAAGGATCAGCAAAGGTAAAGTGAATTAAACAAATCCAGAAATTTGATTAAAAGGGGTTAAATCGAAAAGATTCTTACCTTGGAACGTAGAGTAGCCTTGTCGGAAGCGGTCTTTCTTTTTCGACCTTTCAACCCCTTTACATCATCATTATCATCACTCTCCCAATCGGGAGTTTGTTCACCATGTGGTGGAACACGTTGGGAAATAGCAGCTGTATAAAGCAACATAGAAAGGAGATGAGATAAATACAATGAAAAATTTGAGAAATTTTCTGGGGTTATAGTCATTTACCAGGGGGAGGATTAGTGTTATCGACCCAACATAGTGGCCACCATCTTCTTCGAGGAAAATTGTACATGGAACATCTCGCGTAAGTAACTTGATTTTTTACAGGGACCGCTTTACGCTCGAGGTAAAGTGGGTCGAGTGTTTTTACCCAAGGGGGGTAAGACAAATATTTAGCTAAACCAAAAAGAGCATTCGGAAGAGGAGGTATATTTTTAGGACAAAATTTTTTGAAATTAGTTTTCCCTCGAGGATTAATTACCTTTTTCGAGCAGATGTTCCTCTGTACCATTTTCGATAGAGAGACAGATGCATCGAAGATGGTTCGACCCATGTTGTCAGGTCGATAACAGACTTTAAAAAATTGCTCGAATTGATAAATAATAGTTCGGTTCTTGAAAGTACCTGATTATTTTGGTCCCTGCGAAGAAAGAGGAGAGTTGACCAGCTTCTTCAAAAAAGCATCAAAATCGAGGAGTTTATCTGCATAATAATGATACCACCATCGAAGATAACACCTTGAAACTAAGAAGAGGGGGAGAAATGGCATGGGGTGAGTTTAAGTTCTTTGTCAGGACGCAGAATAAACTCTAAAACTTCCTCATAATTCCTAGTTTCGACACAAATGTCAGCGTCAATACTCTCTTTTCGTCGAAGGGGAAGAGGCTTCATTTGACATAGACCAAATTGGCGGGAAAACATTTGAGGCTGGTAAGGATAGATCCTAACATCTTTTTGTCTCATACCAGAGATGATTACATCCCAAGATAGGAACCTAAACTAGATCTCAGCCGAATCTGAAGTAATATTTCCAACTTGGTTATTTTGTCGAAGCCAAGATGGGCCTGCCAAAGTGGGTCGAATGAAAGGAGCCAAATCTTCACTAAAGTCTGTAAAGCTGTGAATAGCGTCAATATATGTTGCAAAATTATCAATCGAGCGCTTTCGAGGGGTTAAAGTTGTCAAACAGGAACCCTCAAGTTCACAAGACGGAGTAAAGGTCGAAGTAAGAGAAAGCTTTTTCTCGAAGATGGCATTTAGCCATAGTTGAAGCAACCATAATGGGCCAGAGAGATTTCGAGGTCCAGATTCGCGAAATAGGCTTTCTGAAGCTTCGTCGAGGCAGGTATATAAAGATGCCAACAAAAGCTTGCTTAAACAGATTCTCTTTTATAAATGTAAGGCCTGAGCTAGAGTATAGTAATATTTTGGCACTTGAAGAGAAGGGATACAAAAAACGCAAGCAGATAACCAGTACATTAAAAAGGCAATGTGTTCAGAATTCGAAACAAGGGTCCCAGGTTGCCCTACATGAGCGTTAATGAAAGCTAGATAGGTTTTCTTATCCTAGGTGATGGAAAGCTCTTTGATCAAAATCTCTTCCTCGAAGACATCAGGATATAACCTATCTACTATAGGGGTTAAGCCGGTTATTGCTGCAATATCCAAAAGGGTAGGACAAACGAACCCACAGGGGAACTCGAAGGCTCGCGTTTCTCTATTCCAAAAGAAAATTGCAGAAAGAAGCATTTGGGGGTCGAATAAATGTAGGTCAAATTTGGCAAGTTGAATGAACTCGAATATACCAGTTTCGACCCAAGAAGAACTCATTGCATTTTCTACACGAAGTAACCATTGTAGATGCCTATCTTTGATAGGGGGAAAAGCCCTAAAAATCTTAGTAGTATCTCTAAGTAAAGAAAGATCTATTTTTGACGAATGAATGAAGGGTAAAGTAGACGAGTCTTCAGGCAATAATGTATTCCCAAATTTTTTCTTGTTTTGACCAGCAAACGACCCTAAGAAAGCATGCATACTACCATCTGCAAGAGTAAAAGGGAGAAGAACCTGAGACTAAAAGATTTTAAGGCTTGCCTCCTCCATGCCTGGAATAGGGATGAAGGTATCATCCCCGTCGTTGACCTTGCAAACTTGCGCATGGGCCATCAGTAAAGGATTAGCCTGAGTAGAGGTTGTGGTGGCCATAGTTGTCACTGTGGCCGCGGTAGGAGATGTCACAGTGGCAAGAACAGGAGATGTTGCAAAGGCAGTAGTAGGAGAAACCGTGGATGCTACGGCGGTGGATGTTGACGCAGCGGAAGAGGCCATAATGCTCCAAGAACTTGAGAAGAGAGGAATGAAAGAGGGGTACAAGGTCACCGGAGAAGAAAGCCAAGATGCACGACAAGAAGAGAGCAAAGAGGGCAAAGAGTCTTGGGCGCGAAGGAAGAAAGTGATGAAAAGTAGATTTTACCTTAGGGTAAAAGAAGTTTTAACGGGCCTGGGGTGAAATAAAGCCCATGAATTAATTCAAATTTTAAATATAGGTGATAAAAACGGCCGCCAAAAATATATTGTGCATTGATTTAGGGTGCATTGATAGCATTGGGAAACGTAAACACGCGCTGTCAGGATAATTAATGTCCCATCAAACGGTCATAACGTCTATTACATTAAATGAATCGTCAGAATATAGGTTTTCATCGAAGAAATATAAAGTCATTCACTAATTAAGCAAGTCGACCGAAGATCGGAAAACAATTTTCGATAGGAATTCAAATCTCTCATCACAATGCTCACCAGATTGATATCCTAGGGGGGCATTTGTTAGGCTTACTGAGTCAAAACTTACATGCATGACACTGCTCGAAAATAAAGTAAATGGTCAAACACCTACTATGAATAGGGTAGAAATCTTGTTCGTTCATGCTCGAAATCGAAGGGAAGTGGTTCGAGTCGAACAATGATGGGTTCGAAAAACAGAAGTTATTAAAGGTTACTCGTAGTTGCATCAAGGTAGTTATTAAATTGCAGAAACAAGACACGTGGGAAGAAACGATTATGAGAAGTTATGCCCCAAACCCACGTAACAAGCATAGTGGATAGCGGTTATTCCCCATAATGACACATGCATCAAGTTAACTGCTCTTGAATGGTGCTATAAATATGCGAAAGGTAGTCATTTACAGAGGTTGGAAAACTCATACTTGAATTGAACTCTCAAGCACTCTCTACCTGCGCATATGGCTTTCGTGCAAGGAATTGTTTTTGGGTATGACAACTTCTCGGCCACTTTTCTTTTCTCTTTTTAGGATTAGAATTAGCGTAGTTTCCTTTTGTTAATCACGTAGTTTAGTTGCATAATTATGCTTTAGCATTTTAATTGTAATTTTATGCAAGTGAACCATGATCTGTATTGCTAATGTATGTATTGTTCATTCTGTTCATCTAAGTATCTATGTGCATGAAAATTATTATTTGTTAATTATTAATGAATATCTAGAAACAAGTAATTATTAATCTCTCTCTCCTCCATGTTCTCTTGTTCTTCAAAAGTCAAAACGAAATATACCTAAATTGAAACATTTGTCGTGCTAGTTCGAATAAAAAGAATCCATAAACGAATTTCACCGTAAACAATGTCACTTTCTTAAACCAAAGGGAATAAAACTAAACACAACCTCTTCAATAAAATTAATCTAACAATAAAATATAATTAAATAAAAACTCAACAATGTCACAACTCCTAAATAAAGCTCTTCTCCAATATACATTATAAGATCAAAATCCTTCTTTAAGGTTCTTTTCTTCAAACACATTTTTCTATACTTACTTTATTTATCAAAAATTTAAAATATTATTTATATATTTAAAAATATCTACTTATACAAAATTTAAATAAAATATATAAATAAATATAATATATATTTATATATAAATTTTATTATATATAATAAATATTTGAAGTAGATTAATAGAACTATATTATAGAAACTTTGCAAAAAAAATATATATATAAAAATTCAATTAGTTTTTTCTCTCCTCAAAAGTGCAATTACGATATTGCCCTTGAATGTCTTGTCCACTCCATGATGCACTTTGGGCACTCCTCACCTCACTGCGGAAGACTACCCTAATTGCCCTCTTCTCTCTCCACAAATCACTGCAATTCAAGGTAAAGCCTTCTCCGTTCTCAATTTTCTCGTTCCTTTTCAAACCCTAAGTAATCTTAATTAGCTTTTATTCAAACAGAAGGAGACTGATCAAGCAGATGGCGAGCGCTGTAGATGCGGCGGGAAACCCGATCCCCACATCGGCGGTGTTGATGGCATCGTCGAAGCACATTGGGATTAGGTGCCACTCCGAGAACTTGGAGTTTCTCAAGTGCAAGAAGAAGGATCAAAACCCCGAAAAGTGCCTCGATAAGGGTCGCGATGTTACTCGCTGTGTCCTTGGCCTGTGAGTTTTCTTCTTCTTTTTTTATTGTTATCTTTGCTCATTTACCTGGGTTCTGTTTGGTATTCAATTAAGTTTTCTTGATTTTTAGATTTTAACAATGCCTAGGGTTTGGAAAGTGAGTGCGTGTTTGGGTGAGACCAAATAAAATTGATTTTGAAGTGATGTGATTCATGTTGGGATGTTTTCGTTCTATAAGCATGTTGATAGTAAAAGGCACTATATAATTTTTTTTATTCAGAGCAAAAGTTGCTTCTACTCAAAATCAATTATGAAACCAGAATCAATTCCTCAATGTGGAACCAAACGTGTGAGTATTTAATGAAAATCGCGTTAACCGGTGTTAACTGGTATTTTTATGTGATTCTGGATGAGTGAACGTGAATCCAAACATGCAATTTATTTATGTTGTTTTGTTCATAAGTGGTTGTAAATGTCAATCTATTGTAAATTTTGAGAAGATGGAATTGTATTTGAAGATATTTGTAACATTCAGTTAGCTATTGTAATGCAAAACAATTCACTCCGCAAATGCTTAGGTGATTGATTTACTGCTTTTACCATTGGGTCTAGGGTCAGGAGGCAAAAGTTTGTTTTGTTTATTTTTGTAAAGAAATTGAGTGTGGCAGTAGCATCACTCAATCTATATTGAAGATCCTGTTTTTTGGGGAAAGGGGGGGGGGGGGTTATTAGCTTGATATTTTATCTAATTCTTACATAAATCGAATCTCAGATTCAAAAGCCATTGACTAGTTTTATGAATATCCCTCATTTTTTGTGTTTTCCAGCTGGTCTTGTGATTTGTTCTGCATGCTTTGGACTACTTGTTGGAATTGTTGGTTGCATGTAGAAACTTAATTGAGTATGGCATTCAGTGAACATACAATTCTTTGAAAATGTTAGAGAAGCACAACTTTTATGAGAATTTTTAATAGAATGATTTGACATGCTTGTTGACATTTGGATGGGTAAGTGGTCCCTACCACATTATGCATCAAAAGATTACCCTTGAATCTAGATGAATCATGTCAAAATTTTGGGTGTCTTTTTTCTCATTGCATAGCATTTTTCTGTTGGAACTGACAAAATTCTGATAAAAAGGCACTGCTCAATATAAAGGGAAAATGTTGCCAGTTGCCACACAACTATAGGATGTGCAATGGAATATTGGAATTGAGTGTTAGGCAATAAAAAGCTAACACGAGAATAACTTAATGTAGTAGAGATGAGAATGATGTTGTCGATGAGTGAACATACTATACCAATGGATGCATTAGACAAGACTAAGACTCTAAGAGCGAATGCATTAGAGAGAAAGTTGGTATAGCACATATTGTAGAGAAAATAGTTGAATCTAGCCTTGGGCAGTTTGGATTTGTGTTGCGAAGACCTATAGAATCTTTAGTGAAGAGAGTAGATCAAATGGAGAGTGGCCTTACAACTAGATTAGAGGGGTGGGAGACCAATAAAAGTTAAAGGCGAATAGTTTAGAGGTGATTTGTTTATAGTCATGGTCCACAATTGAAAATTATGATGTCATTTGATTCATTTAACTGCCCCACCTAGTGGGAAAAAATTGGTTGTTGCTGACTAGCCTTACCCTATATACACACACGCACTCAAACTGAATTAGTGAAGAATCAACTTCTCATCTTTCTGAAGTTTCTATTTATCTTATTTTTTTTATAATGAGTTAACAATGTTTGTTTTTTTACCAAAAGAACAAATAAAAAATAGAGAGAGAAGTGCATAACTGTAGATGGCAGAGAACTGATATCTTATGTTCATTCATTTATTGTTTTACTTTTGGCCATGAAAAAAATGTCATTAGCCCCATATACCGCCCTTCTCTCTGTCTACTTGACAATGGAAATATAGAATGATGATATTTCAGTTGATATTAGAGTTGGAAACAAATGGAATGTGGCTCTATGCTTTAAGATGCTGCATTAGTATTAGAACTTGGGTGTTTGGAATGTCTTGGTCATTATTACATGAAAGTTTATTGTGGTTGTTTGCATATCAAATAATCATGTGGGTTCACCATCTCTGCTTTTGCTGATTTTGCATCCTTTTGGTATCAAATCCATGAATCATACGATTTTGTTCATAACTGATGTCTATGATAGTTTGTTATTTTGGAAGTACCATATATCTGATTGGGCGTTATAACAATAATAAAATATATACCATGTTTCAAACTCAAATTGTTATTGGTCCCCACATGCTATTACTCGTTTTTTTACGGACATTGAAGGTAGAAGGTTTCACACACCTTGTTGAATATTCTATTCCATGACTTAGCATCTTTGAGAATTTTTTTTTTTTTTTTTGGTTATGAGGAAATGGTCTTTATCAATGCACAATGCATTCTGTTACAAAATACAAATAAAGTAATTAATTCATAATATTATTTTTGTGCACAATGATACATAGTTTCATATTATTCATTTCTATCTGTTAGACATTTGTTTTAAGATTCATGCAATTTTTTATGATTTATTTGATATTTTATAATTGAGCTTTCAGTATGATGACTCCTAACTACCATGGCTTTTGTCATTGTCTGATGCTTTCTCTGTTACACTTTTTGAATATTATCCTTGAGAATTTCTGAGTGATGGTGATTAAATGCTTGTTCTGCAGTCTGAAGGATCTACACCAAAAGTGCACAAAGGAGATGGATGAGTATGTTGGCTGCATGTATTACCATACAAATGAATTTGACTTATGTCGCAAAGAGCAGCAAGCTTTCGAGCAAAAGTGCTCTTTGGAATGAAATTATGCAGTGATGTTGTCTAAAATAATAGCACAGGCAATTTGGAGTGAGCAAATGCGCCTGTTTTCCCAAAATTCATTGACCTTTGCTGTTTGTATGACACTGTTGAAATCTTTACCATTGACTTATGTTGTCTAAATTTTTCTAGAAAAACGCTTCCAAGCAGGACCAAACAAATCCTCAAGCATAATAACTGACAAGAATTTTTTAAGTTAGAACATGCTTGTAATTTGATTTCTATGTCCGAAATATATATTTCTTGTGCTTAAGAAAATAATTTAGAATAGCTTGCCAAATGGCACAAATTTCTGGTGCCTTGGTTCCTGTCAACTGAAGTAGATTAGTAAAGAGTAAAGCTCAAACTGCTAGGAACACATACTACATTAGTTTCTATTGAACAAGGATAGCTAGCATAACGAAGATCAATGATGTACACGTGTTCCAGAGACATATTGTTACTGTTATAGTAGAAATTCAAAATTGTAGTTCATGTCATGTCAGTAATTTTATTTTAGATATTTTTGGTTTTAACTTGGTTTACTAGGTTGAAACTTGAAGTCTAATTAAGGTGAAAACATTCATTGAAGTCTATAGCAAACAAACTGTAACTAGTCCACTTTAGTTAGAGTTTATGCTTAGAACAAGAATAATACAAAGGTCTAGGTCTTAAGCTTCTTGTAACAATCGTGGGGCAGTAGAACAAGAACAATAACTACGTTGTAAAAAATTTAGTATACCGTTCGTCGTGCCCTAAACAATTACACCTCATCATATTTTTTTTGGGAGTGGTTAATGTTAGACGTAAAGTAATCAACTCGCGAACTAGCTTTTACGAAAGCGTTTATAAGGACTATATTCCAACCAAAAAGATTTTAAGAGTTCTTTTAATTTTTTATTTATCACATTATTTATGAATTAAAATTTGACATTTTTAACATAAATTATTAATAATTAAAAATAATCTTATATTATAATATAAATTATTTATCTTAAATAAAAAAATATGATTTACATGTATAAAAATATCTATTTATACAAATTTTCAAATATAGTAATTATTTGTATATAATTTATTATAAAATTTAGTTATATATAATAAATATTTAATCTGAAAATATACTTGCTAAAATACTAGTATAGATACTAAATTAGTTCTTAAAATAACAAGTATCAATTAATTTAGTTCTTAAAATTATAATTATAATTTTATTTTATTTTTCAAAAATAGCACCAGTAAATAAAAATATTTCTTAGGAGTAAATTAATCATACTTTAAGAATTGATGTAATACTCATTTAACTGATGCTTGTTACAGTGATTGTCAATAATCTTGTATGGATATTCATCAATAGTGTTAAAAACTCTTGTGTGGTAAAAATAATGTATCTCACATTTAGTGGCGCTCGACGGTATGTAATGAATTGAACTTTTTTTTAATAAAAACTGTTACCAGTATTTATTGGTTATATTATACAGTTCCTTAAAACAAGTAACGCAAATATAACAACAGGTGTCGTGGTGTAGTTGGTTATCACGTCAGTCTAACACACTGAAGGTCTCCGGTTCGAGCCCGGGCGACGCCAAAGTTTTATTTTTATTTTTTATTTTCATTTTATATCTAAAATAATGTATAATGGCTTGAAGGTAAATACTTCCTCCACCATTTGTGTAGTTATTATTTTTCTTTTTTTAATTAGCATTTTAGGATAAGTAATACATTGTTAAATATTTATTATATATAACTAAAATTTATAATAAATTATGCATGCAAATAAATATTGTGCTTGAAATATATAAATTATATTTAAAATTTGAATTAATAGATATTTTAATTATAAAAGTTATATTTTAAATTTATAATGAATAATTAATTTTTATATATAAATATATATA